TTCGTACATAACAATTTTTTTCCATATACAATAATTTGTACATTAAAGTATTGTATTGTACAACTCCATAAAACATGAATTGTTGTGTATTGTTAAAAATTGTTGTGTACGAATCACTTTCCAAACTATAAGTGGAGGAAAAGCTCCATATTTGTCATTGTCATGCTGCCCCTTCATCTTGATGGAAATAAAAGACACTGTCAAATTATTATTTTCAGACAAAATTATATAAATGGTCCTTATGGTTTATCAAAAATCACAAACTCAATCCCTACTAAATTTGTTGAAGCAAATGATCCATATGGTTTGCAAAACTTGTGTGGAAAGAAGGTGACTAAATTCGTTATGGCATATCATGTGCTAGGCATGTGAGGATATTTTGGTCTTTTCACATACAAAATTCATGACATTTGATAAACCACATGAATCATTTTTGTAATTTGTCTTAAAATAAACAAATGCAAGAAAAGACAAAATTACAAAAATGGTCCTTGTGGTTTGCCAAAAGTTACAAAGTCAGTTCCTATTAAAATTTTTTTGATGCAAATGGTCCTTGTGGTTTGCAAAACTTGCACATATGACACTTTTTACTAACGCCGTTAGTATTTATCCGTTAGAGACTGAATCTATAAGGGCATTTTCGTCTTTTCAAGTATAAAGGGACTGAATTCATGAAATTTGGTAAACGACAGAGACCATTTTGAAGTTTGTATGAAAAAGTGAATTAATCGGCTAAAGGAAGGGGGAAGGCTCGAACTCGTAACCTCCACCCCCTTTTCGGTTATATATCTTATTTAAAATACGTAGTTCATCTTAATCGGAAGTTCTAAATCGTATGATCAAAATGAAGATGAAAAAAAATAGTGATATATATTTTGGAATAATGATAATTAATACTATGCTTGACATTAAAAAAAACTCGTATAAATTGTTTAGACACAAAACAAAATCGTTGTTAAGTTGTTTTTTTATGCACGACTAGTGTTATTTATTATTATTACAAAGACAAAAAAATATATTTTATGAAAACATATTTTTTATACGAAAATGTATTTTTTAAAGACATAAAAAATATATTAACGTAAAATAAATACATAAAAATACATACAAATTATTTGTAAAAAACTATCTTTTTTTTATAATACAACTAAAATACATTTTGTTTTATTTAAAAAAAATTATGTAAAAAAATGTGTTTTGTAATTTATTTATTGTTTATGTATTAACGATTTCGTTATTATATTAATAGGTTTTAGGAAGGTATAACTAAGTGAGCATTCAGCTCAATTGGTTAAATCTTTTGTAACATAATGGGGTCGAGGTCGTGAGTTTCAGCCCTCCCCCCTTCCTTCATTTAGCCAATTAATTTGTTTTTTCAAACAAACTTAAAAAATGGTCTCTGTGGTTTATCAAATTTTACGAATTCAGTCTCTTTATACTTGAAAAAACGAAAATGCCCTTACAGATTCAATCCCTACCGGCGGCTGAATACTAACGGCGTTGGTAAAAAGGGTCATATTTGCAAGTTTTGCAAACCACAATGACCATTTGCATAAAAAAAATTAACAGAGACAGACTGACTTTGAAGGGATGAGGATTCGAGATCAACCAATGCATTAACTAACTAGACTAGAACCAAACTTAGTTTATATTTCTAAAAACTAATTAATATTATGTAAAATCCTAAAATTGTAAATAAAAAATAACTTACAAAAAACATATTTTTACATAAAACTTTCTTTTCATAAAACAACATATACTTTTACGTATTGTGAAAAAATTTAATGAACAATTTATATGTTTTTTACGTATTTATTTTATTTTATATAAAATATTTTGTTTTTTTTCTTTATTTTATAAATATGTTTCATATAATATGTTATTATGTTGTTATAATCCCAAAACATATTTTTAGTTTCTGTTAACATCTTTAGTTGATTTAAACTAAAAATACAAGTATACGTAAAATTATAGACTTTTCCGAGTCATGTCTTGAATTGATTTAAAGCAAAATGGCAAGTATTTGTAAAATATACTAAGCAAATATGTTTTAATGTATTTAAAAAATACATTTTCGTATAATATGTTATTTTGTTGTCATAATCCTAAAATATACTTTTATTTTATGTTGACGTCTTTAGTTGATTTAAACTAAAAAGCATGCATGCGTAAAATTATAGATCTTTTTGAGACATCTTTAGCTGATTTAAAGTAAAACAACAAATATACGTAAAATAAACTAAAAAAAGACGTTTTTAATGTATTTAAAAAAAATACGTTTTCATATGATATGTTAGTACGTTGTTATAATCTTAAAATATATTTTTTCGTATAATATGTTATTACGTTTTGCCTTAAATCTTAGAAGTTTTTTTGCTTTCACGTAAAAAAAAATTTACGTATTTATTTTATGTAATATATATTTTTTATGTATTTTTAAAAAAATTACATTTTTGTATAATGTGTATCAAAACGTGTTATAACAATATAATAATATATTATATGAAAAAATAAATTTTTAATACATAAAAAAACATATTTTACATAAAATAAATACGTAAAAATATTACGTGAAAGCAAAAACAAACTTAATTTTTTATAAAAAGTATGGATATTTGTTTTAGGATCACAACAATGTAATAATATATTATATGAAAACGTATTTTTGAAATCCATTAAAAACACTCTTTTACGTAAAATAAATACATAAAAAATCATATAAATTGTTTGTAAAAAATTGTTTTTGTACTATACGTAAAAGTATAATATCTTTTATTAAAATAAGTTTTATATAAAAATATGTTTTTTTGTAATTTATTATTTATTTATTTATTTTACAATTTTACATAATTTGAATTAGTTTTTGAAAATATAAACAAAGTTTGGCTTTAACTAATTTGTTAGGATGTTGACCGAAGATGGAGAAGAAGACGAGATCCCAAGTTCGAATCCTTCTCCCCTTTCTTTGTTTTAGTTTGAACCATTCTCCCTTCATTTTCTTGTATTTCTTTATTTTAAGACAATTTACAAAAATAGTAATTGTGGTTTACCGAATTTCATGAATTCAATCTCTTTTATAGCTAAAAATACCATCACATGCCTAACATGTGATAAACCCTAACGGTTAAAATGGATTGCGTGAGTAAAAATGATATTCAATACAAGTTTTGCAAGCCATGGAGACCATTTACGTAACAAAAATTGAGTTTGTAACTTTTGATAAACCATAGAGACCATGGAGACCATTTATGTAATTTTGTCTTAATTTTAAGTACAATTAAGATAGAAAAAAATATGTGTAAGACGAAAAAAAAGTTTAACTAAATTCAAGTACCAACCTACTTAATTATATGTTATTACTTAATATTTTAAACACAATTCAAACAATATTAATGTACCATAACATACTTTTATGATTAAAAAATATATATGTGGTAGAACAAAAATTACAGATTACATCATGGCTTTAAGTCCATGTCTCAATTTATATATATATATATATATA